AAGAAAGAAAGAAAGAAAGAAAGAAAGAAAGAAAGAAAGAAAGAAAGAGAAAGACGAAACCACCAAAGGAAACAAAACCAGGAGATAAAGTTCTCCTTCCTGAAGATGAGGACCAGCAGGTGGCAGCAGAGACAGACCAACCAAGAAACTATGACAAACACTCCTCGAAACCACAAAAGGAGGGAGACTTTAAGGACTGTGGTCTGTGAAGGATCAACAACCACAGCAGAAGACTGTGCAGGGACAGATGACCATGGGCACCCATGCACCATGGCTTTATCTAAGAGAAACAAGGCAAGTATTCGAATCCTCCCCTGACTGAAGAAGCCCGGATTCAGCAAATCAGCTTGTGCCAGAAGTAGGACCGTGGAATCAAGTGAGTTGTTTATATTGAGTTATTAAAATAATAAAGGCACAATATTCAGAGCTCTAAAAAAATTTGAAACTTATGCCTAATCCAGTTCTCTCTATAGCCAACATACATCTCTCTAGGTGGAGTCAACAAATTTAGCCATAAGAAGATGAGCTACCCAGTTAAAAACGAGTTTCTAATAAACTAATTTTTAGTATAAATATGTCTCATGCTATATTTGGGATGTATTTATTCTGAGAAGTATTTGTTATTTATCTGAAATCCAATTAGTGATTAAGTGCATCTCATACAATATCTGAGACATATTCTATCAAAATACTGTTTTTTACAAATTTACAAAATGCTGTTTTTAACAAAATACAAAATTAATTAATTTCTCTGTATTGACCTGGCTGTCCTGGAACTCACTCAGTAAACTAGGCTGGCCTTGAACTCAAGAGATCTGCTTGCCTCTGCCTCCCGGGTGCTGAGATTAAAGGCATGCGCCACCACGCTGGCTGGGCTCATTCGAAATGCTACTTTTTATTTATATACGCCCGCATAAGTTTATGTGCGCCATGTGCATACAGATTCCTGCGGAGGCCAAAAGGCATCAGGTCTCCAGGGACTGGAGTTAAGAGGTAACTGTGAGCCACCCGAAGTGCATGCTGGGAACCCAGCCCAGGTCTTCCACAGGAGCCGTAAGTGCTCTGAACTGCTCTCCAGCCCCTAGGCTATCATTCTTTCCTTTCCCCACCTCCTAAAATATTATTTGTTGTTGATCTGAAATTCAAATTTAGTGAGGTCCTGCATTTCCCCTGACAATTCTCTGCCTAGTCCCTTCTGCTGAGCAATGATACATCACAGACCTTGGTCCCTATTATCCCCCACCAAGATGTTAACGCTGCCCAGACCTTTTCCTGAAGCCACAGTGGCCAAGCTTCCCTCTTTATGCTTCAAATTCCAACCGTAATCTTCAACCCAGCGTTTGAGAATCAGCTCCCAGAGCTCCGGGACAGAGGCCACTTCCAGGTACTCCCTCAGACACTGGAACTCGTTGCGGTAGATTCGGCACTCCTGCAGCTCCCTGGCGATGATCGAGAGCTTCAAGGGATTCAGGTTTGGTTTCTTCCTCAAAACGGACCTCTTCTGCCCAAACCGCTCTTTGTCAGTGTTGGGGAGGTGCTGTCTGAAGATGCTGAACTTCGTGTCTTCATCCCCCAGACCAGAGAACTCCACAGTCCTCACGTCAGGGCGGGCACACAGCGACTTGCAGGAGAGACTGGAGGAGACGGTGCTCAGAATGAATTTACAGTGAGGCGGGAGTGAGTGCGGCAGCCAGGAGAAATCTTTTGCCTGTTGAGACATTTGAAAACTTCAACGACCTTAAAATCTCTTTGCTGATGGTCTTCAGATTTACAATAGGAGGTAAGGGTGGGGTGCAGTCACTAAGAGTAACTTGGACAGGTAACCATTCGGTAGTAAGAAATACAAATTCACACAGAATGGAACCACATTTGACGGATTCATCTATGATGAACCTAATACTACAGATCTGGACTCCCTTAAAAATAGGTTCCCATGAACAACTTAATAAAACCTTGAACTTCTGAGTAACAGTGATAATCAGAGGAAATCTAATAAAAGACAAATTGAACCACTTAATAAAAAATAAGAAGACCTTGTGTTACAGTAAAGAATGGTTACGTTTGGCAGTAAAACTATTATGATATACCTATTATGGCATTTTCTTGATTATTTAAAAACTTTAAACCACATTTCCATGTGTTTAATTTGCGTGCACACATGTATATGTATGTACAGGAAGGTGTCATGGGATAGCGTTTGGGAATTCCCAGGTTGTCAGCCGTGGCAGTAAGCACCCTTACCACAGAGCCTCCTCACTGGTCCCATAAGTCTGGATTCTAATCCCACCACTTATTTATCTCTGGACCTTAGACAACACCTAATATCTCTTTGCCGTCTGTCCAGCCAAGGATGATGAGTAGTCTCTTTTGAATGGCTGTGTGCACTCTAGACATTTGGTTGTAAGCCAAAAGGGATACAGTTAGAGCTCCTAAGATGGTACCCTGCTCGTGGTGAATGCCATGTATCAATGGCGGGTATACCTACAAACAGTACAATAGAAATACATCATATACACACTAGAGAACGGGCTCTTCTTTTTATAAAGGAAGTGTTAACATTTAAAAGATGTTACCTTCTGACCTGAAATCCCATAAATGCCAATCAACTCTTCAATCCCATCTAGCACAAGTACACATGGCTTTAAGCTGATGGAGGCCATGAACACTTCTACAAGAAGCGAAAAGACCAAGACGTTTGAGTCTTCATTAAGAAAATCGATTTCAAGCTGGAGGCCTACAAAACAAAGAAATCTCAAATTAGATGAAAATGTTTCCATCTCTGCCAAAATGTGCTGATGGACTGAGGCAGCAGCGAGGTTGGGAAATGAGTGCTACTTACAGCTGTACAAAGGACACATGCATGCACATGCTTGACTGGTTGCAAGACATTCAGGCCTGAAGTAATGAGGGCATTTGTCACCACATGTCTTCAATACATTTCCAGGATGTCATACTCAAATGCTGTGTGTGTGTTTGTGCGCTTCTTGTGTGCACACATACTGTGTGTGTGTATGTTTAGAGGCTGGAGGTAAACATCTGCTGTTCTCTTCAATCACTCTCCACCTCACAAGGTCAGTCTCTCTCTCCTCTCTCTCTCTGAAACTGGAACTCACATATGCTGCTACACCAACTGACTAGTGAGCTCCAGGGATCCTGCTATTCCCACCTCCCCAGGGGTCCAAAGGTTATGGGAGTCTGATGCAAAATCATCACAATGAAGAAGAGATCCAAGCAAAAAGCATTCTAATGAACATAACTATTTTTCCTCAAAATGGTGTTAAAGAGAAAGATAGTAGTGATAATACTGGATAGTAGTGATAATACTCTTTGTTTGGAAAGAACCAATCTGTCTCTATTAAAGGTCTGTTGTCTTATTTAAATGTTAGTATCTCAAATGTTTAAATTCCCACTTAATGACCTACCAATAGGCAGACCTGGTTGCTCTCTCTGTGTGTATGAGCTCATGTGTGTGCTAGGTCTATCAGAGAATAATAAATCGGATGTAACCTCTGAACTCACAGGGCTTTCAGAGGGAGAAAAACAGTAAAACCCACAGACCTGGCACGTCTGTAGGTCACCCAGGGGACCAAGCAGGGTAAGCTCACAGAGGGAGACAACTGCATGAAGCACCGAACACAGGGCTCGGGCTACACTGGCTATCAGGCAGGGAGAGCTGCCCATCAGCCCTCTCGCTGAGGGGCGGCTTAAAGAATGGGAAGTATTTCACCCCCAGAGGAAATCCAGGGAAGGGAATGGACCTGAAGTGATGGGTCTACTCCAAAGACAGCAAACTTGTGCAGCCCCAGGCACGAAGCCAAGCTAGGATGTGATCTTGGCCCGGGGCACAAAGCCTAGCATGCTCTGCGGAGGCTTTCTGCCATTTATTCCCCCTCACCAACTCACAGGCAGGCTCTCCTGTGAGCCAGTGCTCGGTGAAGACGGGGAAGGGAATCTTCCCAAAGACTGAGATTGTCCCTCTAGGAGGCTATCTGGTGCAGTGGAGGACAAAGAGCCTCAAAGTCAACAGAGCCAGAGCTTAGATGCTCTACTCTACCCATGTGCAGCTGGTAGCCCTGCCACTCTGAATGTCAGGACGCTGTCTCTGGTCGAAGGCCTTGAAGCTGTTACTGATGAAGCCTTCAATCTGTACAGCTCATCTTCCAGGACTGCCGTGCGGTTTACATGTTGAAACAGAATTGCGTCAAGAGAAGAACAACTCCACAAAGCATGTCACAAGAGATGCCAGCTGCTAACAAGGCAGGAAAGGGGAACAGGGTGTCAAGAGAGCCCAATGGTGGCGGCTCTCCTCCAGACACTTTGTCCTGGCAGGTAGGGGCTGGGGCCAGAAAAGCAGAACTATGTCACATGTGCATTTGGTGTCCCAGAGAAAAGGGCCCTTGCTCACATCTCATAGAGAAACGCCTGCAGATACAGAGAACAGAGGTGGGTCATGAGAAAATGGGTGATGGGGTAGCTGAAGCTGCAGTGTGCACTCTCTAAACAGAAGTTCTGCCCCCGCACCCACAGGCACCCTATCCCGGAAACCAGCTGTGCTGCGAAGCACAGGCAGCCCTGAAAATGCCTGCAGTGACCTAACAATCAGGCTGCGGCCCTGCAGCCTCTTCTGTTGCAGCCTTTCTTCTCCTTGATCTACAAAGGGAATGGGAGTGTCTTGTTTTACTTAACAATGCACCCGCTGCCCCCCCCCCACAACTCAGGGAGAAATGCTAATCCCAAAAGAACATAACAGCAGCAAAATTATTGTGGCAGCAGGTACCATTGTCAATTCTTGACCTGCAGTTTCTTTCCAATCTCACACAGCCTTAGGGCTCAGGTTTTACAGATGACAAACAGAAGGGCTCGAGTAAACTGCCCAAGATCACCCAGCCAGTAAAGGAAGCCAGACTGTGGCTCAAGCCCAAAGCCTCTCTTCCGGAGCCTCCATCATGAACTAGGAGAAGAGAGATGCTCTCTCATGGAGAGGTGTCTGCTAGTCACAGGCTTTCCTGAATTTGTCCTGCTGCTGCCAGGCGAAAAAGCTACTTGTTTGAAAGACAGCAGCTGTTTTTATTAGGAGCTTTCTGAACCCCATTAAAATAACAACTCACTTTGGGACTGAAATCATAATTGGGTGTGTTCAGCCAAGCTTGCATCATCAGCTAGCTGCCTGGCTCAAGTGAACACCTTGGAGATGAGCCAGGATAGGCCTAGGAGCCTTCCGGAGACAGTCACACCTGCTTCTGCTGATCAATTTTACCTGCTTTACAGACCCAGAAGTGCAACCAAAGAGAACTCGGCTATCCACATTCACCCATGAATGTTCTCAGAAACCCACTGGGCGCACAGACTCAAACACCTGCCCCACCCCATAGGAACTATGTGAAGGCAGCCAAAGTTGCCTTGAGGTGCCCCACACTTACTCAGGACCTAGAAGCACACACAAGAAGATGAGAAGAGATGAACTTTCACCATCAGGCAAAGGTAGATGTACACCAATGCATACCTCCACAGTGGGTGCACAACAGTGACAATCACTAATGTTTATCAGTGCTCACTGGAGCCAGGAATCACACCTAATCCCTTTGTCTTTTGTACTTCATTCTAGTTAATCCTCTGACATGCCTAAAAGCCACTTTTTATCTTAAACCCGTATTTTATAAATAGAAAAACAAAGCTGGGTATGACAGGCTTATCATCCCAACACAATAGAGATGGGAGTTCAGGGCCATCCTGGACTATACAGCTTGAGACCACCCTGAGCTACATGAGACCTATCTCAAAAAAAAAAAAAAAAAAAAAAAAAAAAAAAAAAAAAAAAA